TGACTCGTATTTACGACCTCCCTCAGCTGATCGATGACGCTCTGGACCTGGCTCGCGCCGGGATGCTCGGCTACGACACGGCCCTCTCCGTGCTGGGCTACCTGGGCAGTGAGGTCGAGTACCTGCCCTGGGACGCCGCACTGAACAACCTGGCCTACGTCAACGTGCAGCTCAAGCGCACCGCCGGGTACGGACTCTTCAAGGTAAGTTCGACATGCAATCCTCTCCCAAATGAAATGACGCCTGTGGATGTGTTATGGGATGCCGCAGCATTTGGAACGTCCCCGGAGTTTCATTTCGCTCTGTCCAGGGACTTGTCCCTATTCTTTTATTCCAACGCCTCGCTCCTTGCGTTGATGTGTGGTTTACACCACGCCTCTGGCCGACAGCGCTTCATCCTGAAGCTGATCCAGCCGATGTACGAGCGGGTCGGTTTCGAGGAGAGTGCGAGCGACGCGCACCTGGACCACTTCACCCGAGGCAACCTGCTCAACTGGGCGTGCAGCATGGGTCACCCGGACTGCGTGAAACGCTCCGTGGACCAGTACAAACGCTGGATGGCCGACCCGGACAACGACAGGTACCGGCGTCACCACAGAACTGCCGACAATGGGAACAGACTGAATGATGGAACGACTCGTTAGTGCCCTGGATGGAACGATATTAAAGCAATGCACATAATTATACGGAGCGACTTAAACAAATCATGCAACTTGTAATTTACTGACCCTATGGATGTTAAAGTAATTATAAATCAAAGGAAAAGATTCGTATGCATTTCAGTAAATTGTGATCGCAAGGGTGCCGATGTTTGCTACTGCAGCTGCACCTTGAACGAGAAAATGCCGTTTGCTGGGATCACCGCTTGCACTGCTCGGACCTGAGTGAACTTTTCTGACCGACAACACCGCCTTTCATTACAGCATAATCGCGGCCAACCAGAAGTCTGTTGTGTACTGCACAGCGATTCGTGAGGGCGGCGAGGAGGAGTGGGAGTTTGCGTGGGCGCGCTACCAGGCGGCCAACGTGGCAGCCGAGAAGTCGCGCCTGCTCTCGGCGCTGGGATGTACCAAGGAGATCTGGATCATGAGCAGGTCAGGGATGGTGATGGAGAGGGCAGAGATCTAGTTTTTGTTAGACGCTTGGGTGCCGTGGAGCGGAGAGGTCGTGGGCTGCGTCAGATGGGAAAACTCAGGTTTGATGGTGGGGTGTTCTAAATAGGTACTGTATGTTGTCATTTCGGGCGACTTTAGGTACAGGTGGTACAACATCCTAACGGCACATGTAGTATCTAAGCACCTGCCCAGACTGCAGTGTTCTAGCACAACCGAACCTCTGTGTGCCCTGTAAGGTATACCTGAACTGGACGGTGATTCCCGACTGGGGTATCCGAGTTCACGACGCTGACCTGACCTCTGTACCCTCCCGGGTACACTGACCTGACCTGTGTACCCCGTCAGGTACCTGAACTGGACGGTGATTCCCGACTGAGGTATCCGAGTTCACGACGCTGACCTGACCTCTGTACCCTCCCGGGTACACTGACCTGACCTCTGTGTACCCTGTCAGGTACCTGAACTGGACGGTGACTCCCGACTCGGGTATCCGAGTTCAGGACGGAGCCCAGGTGTTCTCCACCGTAGCCTACAACTCCGTGGGCCGCTACCTCGCCTGGGACTTCCTTCGAGACAACATCAACCTAGTCGCTAAAGTGTGAGTTCCACCCCAACGTCCCGTCCTGGTTGTCACGCGATGAGCTATGTTGTTATCACAGTGCCGAGTCTGTGAGTGAAAGCCGGGCTGGTGGCCCAGGGCGTCCAGGATGCGTTAGGGTTCGCTTCATCATGTTTATCAAACTTGGCTTGTTTTCTTTGACACTGAAAGCGGTCACCGGGACCAAAGGCGAGTGTCTCAGACTTTGACCGTCGTTGTGGCTCGGTCACGCGATGGAATGTGTTTGTTTTGGTGAGCGGCTGTGATCGGCCTCATCCTGTTTAGGTTGGTGGCGTCACGGACGTCTAACGTAACGGGTGCGGGAGTGGCTCGACGGCTCGTATAAACAGGGGAGCGCGCGCGCACGGGGACTTTGGCTCCGGTGTGTGGAGTGTGTTGATCGTGCTGCTGAGTCACGGTGCAACATGAGAAGGTCCATCCGCCTACTCCCAATATCACGCCAAGTTCCCTGCCGACCACTTTATCATTACAGCTTCAGCCTTTAGTTTGTTTTATTTGCCTTAAGTATTATTTACGTTTGACATCTATGACCCTGTAACCGTTTTATTTCATTCCTTTTCTTTGTTCTGTTCTCACATGTGTTTGTTGTGTTTTTAGTTACGGCGCCAGCTCGTTCATGCTCTCGCGATTTATTAGAACTCTGCAGTACGGATACAACACCGAATTGGACCTGAAGCAGGTACGACTCGCCGCCCTTCCACCCGTTCTGCGCACAACTCCAGTCCGCGACATCACGATCCTTGTCCTCCACACCTGTGACTGTGACCTCACGGTGTGACTGTGACGGCCACCCCCACTCTCTCCCTGGTGTTGGTGGTGACGGGATGCCGCCTCACAGTGTCCCTACTCTGCCCAGGTTCAAGGGCATGTATCATCTGAACATAATTTTCGAATCGCTCGGAAGAGACGTTAACCAATGGAGCAATCTGGTGGAGGTACGAATCGGGTCAACGAGACACGAGGTTTAATCGTCCTTCGCAAGGCTTTCAATTTTAGTTTGCTTGTAAAATCACTACGCATATGTCAGTGACACTCAATGGAGCGTGTCCAAACTGGCGGCTGCATGACAACTGATTTTCAAAACCCGTATCTTCGAAGCTGTACTTAAAACGCTGTTTATTCAATTACGCATGCCCTGCTATTGGAGGACGTTCATTTGCTGTGCAGAACACCCACAATTCAACAGTCCCAAATCTCCCGTGACCATATACCATATCTTGCCTTAACTTCGCATGAACCTTCCATGCTGCTTATGGTGCCCTTTGGACACTGTCTAAGCAGAGCTTTATCACTTTTCCATCCCACCAAATGCCATGCTCGCCATTGTCTGTTTCGTGATGCCGCATATTATTGAATGGCGATTTTATTTGCTGTTGTCTTGTGTTTTCAGCCTTCATTTTTAATGTCTGACTTCATTCACATCAATGTCTTTAAATAAACCATGTAAAAATAGGAAGTGTCCATTACTTTTTAGGGCATTGCTTTCATGTTATATACCATAGCAGTCTAGAGTTGTTAAGCATCCAGCTTGAACTCTAAAAAGCGAGTTCCGTTATATACGCCCACGCACATTAATTTTTTGCAGTGTTATTTGGTACCTATCTGTACGAAGCCTCACTTTATTGCGATAAATGATTAATCCAAGCATGCGATTTCACTATTCCGCATCTAGGAGGTAAAAGCCGATGTGCTTAGCTGATGCTGAGGAAATGGGATTGTCTCTCCTCCCTTCGCCCTAGCCCGGAGACTGACATCCCCCTTGTGTCGTCACCGCAGCTGAAGGAGTTCTTCTCTGCGAACGCTGCGATCCTGACCTCTGCCGAGCGGGAGGCCAGGCAGGCCGTCGAGTACTCCACCACCAACGTGGCGTGGATGAAGAAGAACTACGACACGATCGTGCGCTGGCTGAAGGAGCAGGAGAGCCGCTGAGGGGGAGAGTGTCCCCTCATAGCAGCGCGGCGACCCACGGCAGGTAAGGAAGAAAGGTGAATGGAAAGGCAGGGTCAGACAGCAGCAGATGGATGGAGTGGCGGGTAATTCAATAGTAGCTCAGTAGTCAGCACAATACTACAAAGAGTAAAATGAAAAATATCAGTCACAGATCAGTCGAAGTCACTGTCGAATGAAGACAGGTTCAGGTGGGCATAGCGCACTAAGGTGACCGGGAGCCAGTTGTTGTCACCTTGGCGACACTTGTTGATTTGCAGATAACGGCGCCATTTCACCGTAACTGACGGAAGCGGTTGAGTTTCGCGGCACCGTGCGAATGGCACCTCAGGGTGCACCTCGCAGAACGTACCTAATGGGACGGTTCTGCGAAGCTGACTCATGACCAGAAAACGTTTTCCATTCACATGGAGACGATGAACGGCCCTTTAAAATTGTTTTTCTCAGAGTAAGCCTAACCATCATAATAAACAGGACTAGGCAAAACCATTGGCGTGATACGGTACGTCAAAATTGAGCCTCCTTGACCAACGACCACACAGAAGAACCGAAAAGTACGCAGAGGTGGCGCCACCACACCTAATCAGTGGTTTGGCTGTTCGGTGACAGACGTCTCATTCACCGCAGGTTCCGTCCACGGAGTCACCGCCAGCCGCGCCAGATATACCCGTATCTCCCCTTTCCGGGAGGTGGACGAGTGGCTACCCGTCAGACAGGTCACCAGAACACCCGCTCCTCAGCTGACCTGACCCCACTGACAGGTCGTGCCGCCCTCAGGGGACCCAGACCACCAGCTGTCCGCCAGTTAGCGGCCCCGTGCGTCGCTGCCCCGCGCCGAGCGGCGGCGAGTGGCCCAACCGCGGCGGTTCGTTAGCGTGTTATCGAAGACGAGAGACTGAGCTGTGGCCGTCACGTTTTACTGTGACGACAAAGCGGGACAATCGAGGGACGCAGTGGTATAGTGTGGCGGATTCTGACTGCGCGTTCGCATCTCCCGCTATATGTTGGTGTCTGTTCATGAGAGTGTTGTGTAAATATCGTGTGATGTGTGAGTGGTGTCACGTATCGTCGCCTGGAGCGACATTCAGTACCGGTACCGAACAGGGCGAGAAGCGCAGGCGGTCGTGGGAATAGGAGACAAAAGGGAACTGTCTGCGCCACAGTCGCTACCAGTGCCATTGCTACAGGTTTCTGAATCCCCGAGACGGTGTATACGATATACATTATACAATATACATGGACGTATTTTCGTAAGTCCTGGACTTTTGTGTGTCTGGTGATTTGTCTATAACAGCGTGCTGCGATTGAGACAGATGTTATACAGCTAGCCACCGTGTATTGGTGATTCAACAAATTGTATAAAGCATTGATCCCATATGTTCTATTGAGAGCCTATTGCCGTGTACAGACAATACAAAAACATGCCCAACTTGTAATATTTCTGGTCTTTGGGACGAAAAGAAAAGACCGAGCGAACCATAAGCTTCAATAAAAATTACGTCTTTTAGAACAGAACCCCATGGGTTAACAAGACGGGGTTTTCAAAAACACAGAATAAAAATGATGCAAAAGTAAAGCCTTCGCAGTCTCCTTAACAATTAATACTATGAGTACCTACCACTTAAAGGAAGGGTGCCACCTTTTGGACACAACGCAGTTTTTACAAGATTAGCCTCACATGAACCTAAAAACCGGCTTCACTTACCTATGCTCGAGACGGTCAGCATTGAATCCGCACGTGAAGTTATCATTTGCGAGTTTTGCTGCCAGCATTCGGGCAGGCAAAAATCTTCAGCACTATTTCCTCGTCGTGTTAAGGGTATTTTATAAAACATGAAATCAGCAAAGGTATGTATAAAAGTTATACTTTTGAAGCATGTTTTATCATTTTGAAAGGGTATATTTTTTCTTTATGGTATACACTTAAGTTTTAAAATTTTAATTGGGAAGTTTTTCTAGTAAGTTGCATGAAGGGTGAAGGGTTCCATAGATCTCTTAAGCATTGTAAAGGAAAAACCTTTACTCGACTTCACCGTCATTCACCATCATTACCAATTAGGTGGCAAATATGGCCAACAGTTACCTACTTGGTTACCTACAACTTAGTTCAAATCATGTTATCTTCTTCCTTTTTATTTGTTCATCTTTTTGTCTCAGTTGCGCCATCAATGCAAATGGCAGAATGATATGTTGCCATGACAACAGGATATGCCAGCCGTCCTAGCTGCCACATCAAACGACCTTGAGTTGTAGTGGTGATATAAACAACGATCTTTTTTTTGGCCAATGTATTAAATGCAATGTTTCGGTTTTTTGTATATTGTGGACGCGCTAACCACGTCTAAAAATTCAAATAAGTAAAATAGATTCATAGAACAAAAATTTCGGAAGGTGGCACCCTTCCTTTAAGATCGTATCAAGTGATGCAAAATTCAAGAAAAAAAGTCTTCCAATTCACTTTCGGCCGAACAAGCCTAATCCTATCACAACTAACAGCTGCAAACTGCTATGCACTCATCTGCCTATGCTCTCCCATCAGATCCACGCATTAAGGCATTAAGCAGAATATATCACCCATGCGTGTCCCTGGCAGAAACCTTACATCTCGTCACATCGGGGCTGGTGCTACGGAACACTCACCCTCTGCGACCGTGCCATCCCTGACCGCTCCGGTGGCGATCTCTGCGGCCGCTCCGGTGGTGCCCTCACCAGTGTGCGCCGTGCATCTGGGCCACGGCGCGCACCATGGCCGCGTGGCTGGCGTAGAGCTCGGTCTCGGCGCTGACGTCCGTCCAGCGCACGGCGCCAGCGTCGTCCCCGGCCTGCAGCGGGAACGCGCCCACCGCCTCGCCCGTCTCGTCGTGGAAGTTGAACGCCTCCGTCTCCATCCAGGCGTTGTCGGTGTTGCGCGGGTCGTCCACGTAGCCCTGGTAGACGGGCTTACCGGCGGCGAACACGGCCGCCACCTGGCGCTCGAGCTCTCGCCGCCGCTCGGGGCTCGCCTCCAGCGCGTTGAGCGCCTCCTCCCTGAACTCGCGCTGCACGGCGGCCGAGACGCGCTCGCCGGCGTCCACCATGCCGCCGGGCAGCGCCCATTGTCCGCAGTCGCGCCGCTGGATGGTGACCAGCTGCAGCTGCGGCCGGCCGCTGGCCGGGTGCAGCCAGCGGCCGCCGTCGGCGCCGCGCCGCCACCGCGTCACCAGCGGGTCGGCCGCGTGGTTGGGCCCCCAGCGGCCGAGCAGACCGCGGCCGCGCAGCCCGGTCCGGCCCACCGGGTTGAGCGGCGCGCCGGCGGCGTCCAGCGAGTACCCCTCCGGCTGGCGACTGCGCCGGTCCACGCCTCCCTCCAGCTGGTTCCAGCGCGGGCTGAAGCCGGCCTCCGACAGCTCCGGGTCTGCCCACGGTTTTCCGGCCAGAACTGGGCTGCTATAGACAGGCGGTGCATACTCGGGCCACATAACTGACCAGGGCACCTTGTCGTCAGGCACGGCCGCACGCTCCACCTCAGAGCCTGGGTACTTGCCACCACGACACTTGAAGTGCATCTTCATGGCTCTGAACAGACAGCCTGCAGATGTCCTTGTCATACAGTGTTCTGCAAATGCTGTAAAGGATAAATGCAAAATTATCAGGGTTGATGTTAGTGCAATCAGTAACACTGATGAACAAAGAAGCTGCATAATGAACACCCATTATTCATGCTTCATCACAACATGAAAACTGACTGACACTTGAATATTCAGGATTCAGGAGTGAGAATTTGAATTAGGTGAATAGATCTTTAGAAATTAAAAAGTTGCCAATCCCCTTGTACTTTGTAGTCAACCAAAACTATAAAGAATACAGATGCATGTGATAAAACCACTTGGGATATCCTGTATCAGCATGTTGAAATGAGTAAAACAAGCTACAAAATATGAATTAGGTAGGTACAGCATACAACTTGAACTCTTGATCGATATTTAACATTTATTTAATATTTTCTTAGGTACCTACTTTCAGGCGATGAGAACACCTAATGGGCAGCATGAATTAGCTTATAATGGTTCAGCTTGCACGAGGTTCAAATTGCACGGTACCTAGCAAGCGGTAAGATAGGATACCTACATGAGAATATTCAACTAACCTGTGGTTGCTGTGGTTCCAGTCTTTAGGTGATGGCCTTAGGTTCCAGAGTCTCAACAGTTTTTGAAGTACTAGCTAAATATTACGGACTTTCTCCAAATTTTTACTAAACCGCCAAACATCACACAGCAGTTGAAAGTCGGTGATGTGTTTTATGCAAAAATGCAAGGCCATGCACGCCAATCCTAACATCCACAGGCCAAATTCTGTTTATTCATATTTTGTCACAAGTTCGTCACTAGTTTTGAAAGGTCAATTGCCTAGCAACTTGAGGGCAAAGCGCGCAAGTTTATCAAAGCGAAACAGGTTGCTAGGCAACTAGCTTCTACATCATACCAAGAAAGTATCTTAGAACAGAATATGAAAAGACGAAAAAAGTTGAATGTTGTTGCTGGGATAGGAACGCCAGGACCAAGGATAGGAGAGGACGCGTACCAGTTCTCTAAGTATATGCCGTGACGTTTACCAACAACATCAACATTCAACGTGGTAGCCTTGCGAACCCATAGGGTTGAATGTCAATGTGGAATTCAGATTGAGCAGGAATTGAGTGGATTCCAAGGAGTAAAGTGGAGTACAGCCAAGGAGCTCTGTAGCCCGTAAGTTCTCATTTTACGCAGCTCATCATGTAACTTATTTGGCCTTGATTTTACAGTGGCCTGTAGTTCGAGCATTACGAGGCATCGGCGGCTCTTGGAATGTAGGTAGGCAAGGCTTTTTTGCAAAAGAATTGATAAGGTGAATATAATATTTCAAAAGTCTTTCATCTACGAGACCGAGCTGAGCTTCTTGAGCTATTGTTTTATGTGCTAGCTCAGACCAAGCATAGGGGCATAGGGGCATTTGTTCGCAACTTCAGTTTAAACAAGGTTGGATACTTATCAAAGCTGCACCAAGGAACACTAGCTTTTAATGTGCTGCTGCCACTGGTGCCGTGGCCAGTCAGACTGTCAACAGCGTGCAGGGTGGGCAGGGCATGGATAGATTGTGAAATATGCTGAATGCAGTGCACTGTTACAAGGTACTTGCTTATTATTCTCAGCCTCTCATTGGTGAACCACTTGCTCCTTGTGAATTTTACAAAATCTCAACTTTTGCAGGTTGAATAATGGATGACAAGAAGAATCAGGGAAACAAGAAGGACCAAGAAGAGAAGAAGCCAGTTAAAAATGCAGTTGATCTACAAAAGCTTAAACTTGAAAAATTGTTTAAAAACATTGTAAGTGGCATCAGGTTTGGAGCATCTTGATGAAACTGGAACTTCAGAGCATGGTCGAAATGACTAATATATACCTATAATCAGTATGTTTATCATTTAAGTATCAACTACTGTAACAACCTTTCCTTCCTTGGCAGGAGAAGCCAGTGCACCTGCCTGAACCCGTCAAGAAGCGAGGTTTCTCGGCCGCCCCCGAGTTCGTTCGCAATGTGATGGGTTCGAGCGCGGGCGCCGGCAGCGGCGAGTTCCACGTGTACAGGCACATCCGGCGGCGCGAGAACGCCCGGCTCAAGTACATCGCGGAGGAGGCAGCCAAGGTCAGTGACCTGACGCAGTGACGTGGATTGCGACGATATGGGTCAAGGGTGGGCAGGGGTTGTGGAATATGTTTGATGCACTGCACAATCTTTGTGTTGCAGCACGGTTGTTATCAGCGAACTATTTCCAAATTATTACTGTATTTCACATCCAAGCTTTGCATTTCGTTGAAAAGTGTGTCATTCAGGTGCTTAAAGTTTTAATGATTGCATGCTGTCAGCCGTAGTATCCTCATTACTGCTGAATGACGTGTGACATTATCTCTCGCTTCCGCACTGCAGGAGGATAAGGACGAGGAGTACCAGCGGAAACTGGAGGAGAATCGCAAACTGAGCGAGCAGCGCACCGCCAAGAAGCGCGCCAAGCGGCAGAAGAAGAAGGCTCGCCAGCAGGGCCGCGAAAAGCGACCCAAGGTGGCGCCAGCGTCGGCGTCGGGGCCAGCCGAGGGGTCGGAGTCGGATGACGATGAGAGCGGCTCGGAGCCGGAGCCTGCCGAGGGAGACAGGGTGCCGGCGGAGGGAGAGGGAGAGGGAGAGGGAGGTGATACGCCTGTGGAACGGGAGGACGCCGAGAGGGACGGGGAACGGACGGCGACGGTGGCGGGGGCAGATGTGGAGCATCCCAGGCCAGCCGGGTCGACGGAGCCCGGCTCGGACGATCCCGGTGCAGCGGTAAAGTGAGCGATGGCCCGTGAGGTGGTGAAGTGACTGTGACCTGGCAACGTGAGTGTGACCTGATCGGTGGAGACTGGAGAGAGTGGTGGCCATTACTTCTCATTACTTGCTGTTGTCCGCGGTACCGGGTACCTACGTAACGCATTTTGTTTTTACGTGATGCGGTATATCATTGTCATAACAACCACAACATTCGCTGTTTGCTTGTCGTATGCGTGTGATTCATCGTATTTTACATGAAGTGTACGGATAAATACCGGCACTATCCTCCTCTGTAGTGAAAGATATTGCAAAGTTCGATGCAGTGGTTACTGATTGCCTTCAACGGCCAATGTCAGGCCGAATTTTATTGGCCCAGTATGTCGGCACGCTTGAGGCACAGGCAGCCGCCCTGTGCTCAGTAGGACAGCCGCCCAATAAATGTCACCAAAGCTGGAATCGATCCGAATTAACTCTTCATTCGTGCGACATAGCATATGGTTGAATAGACGTGTGCCTGTGCTAGCAATACTCGGAGGGCTACGTTGCTAAAAACTAAAAAGTCCTTAAATTTCCAGTTTTGGAGACGTCTTCTGTTTTGCAAAATATTCATGACTCCTCTGGGCCGCTCGCCGACCGTGGCAATTGGTCTCGATACTCGATAGCATTCGTATGGCACGTTATCGCATATACCTCGTACAAAAGTAGACGCCAGAATCCACGATGCTGCTTTTTGAAAATTGTCAAGGCTCCGCATTGAACGAAAAAATGAAATGATGCCATTCAACAGCATCGCTTCATTTTTATTGGAGTAGCGGGGAGCCTGTTGGTCGCATTTGGCGATAAATGCATCCATTTCAGCTTCTGAGCCGGTTTCCCGGGCGGGAGCCGAGAGCTGCGTATTCCGCCAGCTTCACGCTCACGCTCGGTTTGGCGGCAGCCCCGCTCCGCTGGCGATCCGGCGACTGCTGCCGTTCCGGTGGAGAGCTGAGAGCTCGGTCCGATTAGCCCCTAGGCGGAAGATCACAGACGTCCAGCGGGTCGGCTTTCAGAGCGGAAACCACCTCAGGAAGTTCTCCGATCGCCGCAGAGCTAAAGTTTTTTATCCTCAGCCGACCCTATTGATATTCTTACGATAGGATTATATGTATATGGAGCTTGTGAGCTGCTGCGCCGAGTTGGACCGATATAATACAGGTTCGTGGTCGCTGTCCGCTAGGTTTGGCTCCGTGGAGCGAAATATTTGAAACTGGCAGCCTCACTGGTCACCTGGACACTGATTGACGCAGGGATACCCGCACAGACGAACAGAGGGACCCCACGCAGCAATCAGCATCACACGCATCGCAGCGGCACGACCCTGGATCGCACAACAACTCTACTGTGAAATGAGATCGCTCGGTATGCTGAAAATACCGTGTGTCGTGTTTTGCAATAAACGGTGCATCCTGCTCAAAGTAATTTGCAGCGGCGCGCCTGCGAGAGCACCACCCGGGCCGACCGGCTGGCTGCCAATGTCACTGCACGGAGCGCGCTGCTGCGGGCCGCCGTCAGCCAACTTCGGGCGGATTGCAGATTAATCTCGACTGGTCCGACACCAGAGACAATGGGCGTGGCAGAGACAGTCGAGATCTAATATTCAGACATCGTGGCAGGGGCCTCAGACTGACTGCCCAATTCGCCGTGCGATCTGTCAAAATCGACCCAACCGCAAAGCGTCCCAGCCGATGCGCCAGCGCCGCCGCCAGCACCCGGCTAGCTAATTCACAAGTCGCTCGAGTGAAAAATCGGCCGTGTTTTGAGAAAACTTGTTGGTAAAAGCCGATGATTTCAAAGTCAACATAATAACCAACGAAACACGTCCTGTGAATAGCAGCGACGTTGCCAGTCAGCTTCCTATCTAACATGTAGCCGGCTTACGAAAAAGAAACCTGAGGAAAACATGTTTTGAGTCAAACTGAACTGCCTGGTGCCACGGCGCTGCATGTCTGAGTTGCGAAGGATTGAGATCAGTGATGCCATTCCTCACCGACATGATAAATAGGAAATGAGCCTGATTTAAGTCCGGCTCTACCAGCAGCCGTTGGGTGTCGTTCCACTCCCAACTGAACCGCAGCTAGGCCATTCAGCAGTCCACATCGCGGAGTTCCGAAAGAGGTAATTGCGGTGACTTCAAACGACCATAAATCACAAACTTCATCAGAGAATATCAGTAAATTTGGGTAGTTCCATCGATAGTCGAACTTCTCCTGACCAACCTCGGCAGATTTTCTGAAACGGCCACAGATGGGTCGCGGTCAAATCATGCGACACATAGCTGCTGGTGCCGGCGAAGTTTATTCGTTGGTCTCGACCATATTTGATGCCAGTCTCTGGAAAGCTCCGCACTCATTGTCATTCCCAGAATGATGACACATTCCTAGATAACAATAAGATACAATATATGGACTCCAGGACTATGGAGCGCCGTTCGTGTCACCACTCTCATCCTTCATCGTTCAAGATGAAAAACTTGGTACACACGTTGTAAACGACTGGCAACCTTACCCCCTCTTTACAAGGCATCGCCACCGATGGCCATCATTATCAGACCCACTTTCAACGGCGCTAACAGTTTGTCTTCGATCACTTGGTGAACACAGGCAGCCATGACAGCCTTCAGTCAGCTCTAGAACGGACCAAACGGCGTCCAGTCAGCCCCAGTCCAGAGCGACGACACACTGCTGAGAAGTCGGAACAGTGTCACCGTGAGTGGAATGGGGCGACGGCGACATTCCACTCGGAAGACATTCTCTCGCGGCGCCGCGTCTTCACGGAAGCGCCTCCTACGCGCGCTCCGTAAAATGTCAATGGCAGACGCTGTAATCGCTGTTGATAGCCGTGCATTATTTTTCAACAATCAATCAGACTGTCGTCTACCACCAGTAATCACTATGTATATGTAGAAGTATGTATGAAGTATGAAGTAAGTATGTATATGTAGTATATGGTAGAAGCCATAATTAGTTTTGCGTTGCCTTTTTAGTATCTTGCGGCTTCGTTGCCGGCGAAGACCAGAGTGTTCACGTAAAGAACGTTCTGGAATGATCAATAATTCGAGGATTAACAGTTACAGAATTGACAATAAATAAGCCAAAATCAGTGTTCCGTGAACCGGTACTCATCTTACTGTACCCGGAGGCTGCTAACTGCGCCGCAGATACGTTCACGGAAGACAGGTCATGTATTGGCAAAGGCCAGCGGAAGACGAAGAAATCAGCTCATCTACGCATCACATACGACTCGGTAAGGCACCGCCAGCGCATCACTCACAGCTGCTGCGGCAGTCATTGTGCAGTATTTCCTACACAGGTGCGAAGCGGCACGTTCAAAAGCAAACGGTCATTACACTAGCTAAATGCATGCAGCGCCAAAAGGCGAGACCCCGACGGACACACGCGGCTTTGACACGATGGGACGCCGGACGACTCTCCCTCACCCCGCACTGACTAAGTAGCTGCCCCAGCTCCGGGCGCAGGCCGCCGACCACTGCTCGCCGCTAAGGAGAAGGCTTACCGGGCCGGTGGCGGCCGTTCGCCCCATTTACAGCTGCGCCCGGCTCCGGCGGCGAACGCACGGCCGCTCGGACCACCCTACCCGAACGGCACACGGCGCATCGGGCCCGGCAGCTCGCCGCCTCGAGCACACCGTGAAGGGTATACGGCCGCGGGGTCGCCGGTGCCGGCCGCAGAGGCCACCCGGCGCCGCAGTAAAATCACAGCCGATCTCGGCACAGAGGACTCCGTCCGACACACACAGTTGGCACCGGTGGCGCGGCAGGCGCGCGCTCAGGCTCGCCGTCGTCACAGCTCCTCAAAGAAGGCCACGCGGGACCGGGCCGAGCCCTCCTTGGTCTGGGAACAGAGGGCGCGGAGTCAGACTCACAGCGTCGCTCACACATTGCTTACTGCCGCCCTGATCATACAGCCGTGACCTCGCATCCTACTAGGGCGATTTGAGTAAACGACGAGGAAAACTTATACAGTATTCAGCAGCCAGAGTTACATTGTTTAACAGTACAAAGCTGATGGAATCACATTTCTTGGAAAATATCAATCTTACTCATTATGACTATGCTACTTTTTATAAAGGTTAATCTTTAATGTATTTACTTGTCTAGTTATTAATTTGATTGTCAAAAGGAAAAGGCGCATAAATCATTACTTGATCGTAAGTGGGGACAGCGAATAAGGCTAGAGCAACATGTGCAATCATATAATAGAATCACACAAAACACGCATGAACAATTAACATACGGTTCAAGCTGTATGTAGCAGAGCACAAGTTAACAACACATACGCGAAAATAATAATGCACACACTAGCAATACGCAATACGCATATCAGCTCACCTTTTTGAAGGTGGAGTACTTGTTCTCTCCCAGGTTGACCTGTTCGTCGTGGATGTGGTCGTACAGGGTCTGGTTCTCTCCGATCTTCAGTACCTCAATCTCAGTTCTCATCTCCTTCAGTTGCTCCTGAAGGTGTTTCGACTTTTGGAGGTACTCAACACTGGAAATACATCCCGAAAACGTCAGATAAAAAAGGACCGGTGACGAGAGAGCACTACTCTTGGGCACCCGTCATTTTCATCAACATAAGAAGCACAACCCCAAGCTGCCACAATCCGTAACTGAACACGTCTAATGAACTGCACTGCTGTACACGCCACTGCCAATTAAGTAATCTTGGACACTTATGCATCTAGTTGAACTGCGTTACGGCCCAGCAGGGGTAACCACCGGTCAGACTTACGAGTTCGTCCGCGTTAGCTACGCCCATCACTGGCTACCTGCCCATGTTCTGCATTGGGGTTGACTGAATGGTCCTCTTGCTACATATACAGACATTTCTGCTTAGAGTGCGCTCCCCCGACCCACACTGGGGCTGCACTGACCGCTCCTTCTCGATCTCCAGGTTCAGCTGATCCATGTTGGTGTCCGACATGAGGTCGTACTGCGCCAGGGACGTCAGCGCCGACGACTGGTTCATCGTCAGGTCCGGCAGCTCGCTGCTGTCGCCGCCGTCGTACACGCTCTGCGGGTACAGGTCAGAGGTCACCGGGCGGGTCAGAGGTATATATGTTACAGACCGTATGAAAACCCAGTCCGTTTGCAAACGGCCTGGCCCAGTCAGGCCGTTTGAAAACGGCCTGAAAAAGCCGGCCGTTTGCAAACCGCCTGAAATATCAGGCCGTATGAAAACGGCTTAGGCAGTTTGAAACGGCCTAGACAGTTTGAAAACGGCCTAGTCAGTTTTCAAACGGTCTGGCGAAGTACAAAAGCCTCTGAAGATTGAACTTAATGGATCCAGGTTGGTCGATGATCAGGTTGCATCCATGTGAATGCTTGCGCATTTCATGCCGAATGACTCGTCTACATCCGTCGAACATTTTCTTACTGTGCTGATGCTCGGCCCAACCGTTTTTCGACAATATTACTAAGTACATATACAAGTTCACGGTCCGCCTGTGTACGGCCATCCAGTTGATGGAGCCTGGTGAAGCCACTACTGGTGAGGTCTGGTGAAACGTAGGGGAGAGTGGGGTAATTTGGCCGCTTTTTTTAGAAAACGATGTAACTTAAAATTGACGTCACATTTCTGCATTTTCTCAACGCTGGCAGGTGTCGCATTCATTTTACTTTACTGGACAGTGAACTTGAAATGATAGAGTAATTACTTATATTGAAATTGTGACGTATTACAAAGGTCTGCAAGGCGGCCGAATTGCCCCACTAGCAGGGTTATTTGGCCGGGGGTGTGGGGCAATTTGGCCGGTGTTAGTTTGCGGTCAGGATTTTCTGTTATATTGCGAGTCAGCTTCAGATTCAGCAATGACGTGTGTCCTATGACGCATTTACCACATTTTGGAGGTTGACTCATGGGGTCACAGGGGTCAAAATAGCCAAATTAGCGGCTCTAGATGCGTAGACAATTTTTTACGAATAACTTTTGAAGTAATCAAGCTAGGCCAAAACTTCGAGTACCATCGTAATTATCTCGTCATTCCGCATCAAAACATATATGTGTTGACCTCGAGAAGTCAAGGTCAAAGGTTGACCTCAAGTCACGTTACCTCAGGTCGCTTGACCTCAAGGTCACGTGATTTCAAGGTCATCATGCATATCATTCGATGCGCCTTGGCGAGCTGAACAGAATGAGACCATTTGTGCGGCTGTACCATTTTTATGTAAGGATTTATTAGCAAAAAACGTTTGGTAACCTTTGATGACGTCACATGCTCTTACAGTTGACCAATCGGAAGTAAGGCATCAAAGTAGTCAAAGTTGGTCATGAATCATGTCATTTATGGTACAATTGGCCATGAAAACTCGGCCGTCCCAGCATAGTGACCATGAGCGCACCGGCCAAGTTGCCCCGCTAGTCTCGGCCAAATTACCCCATATTGCCATTCTGAAAATTTTTGTGTATAAAGTCATCACGGCTATACGGAATTAGATGAAATTGCTCTTGGAACCGCTGAACACCCCCAAGAATGGCGCTATAATGTCTGAATTCGTTTTTAGCCCAAATACTACATGTTATACAACTTTGTAAACAGAAGTAAAAGTTACCAGTTTCTAATGAAATTAACGTTTTATTAATTTTAAATAAAACTACGAGGGGCAAAGTTTTGACATTTGTCCTCCAGTTATTTCTACCCATGACAAATGAATAGAGACTAGAGTTATTTCACTCACTTTTATTAGACATCGTACAGGTGGGGGCGGCCAATTTACACCACCGGCCAAATTACCCCACTCTCCCCTACAAGACTCACCGATTATTTTGCGGCATAAAACGCCGGAGCGCGCAATGGACATCAGAGTTCACATCAGTGGCGCGGGAACCGGGGGGGGGGAGGGGGCTAGCACTTTTCGGCTGGGGGGGGCTCGTAATGTATTTGAGCCTCCCCCCCCCAGCTGGAGGAATCGAAATCGGAAATCTACCAACATAATTTCATAGATTCATACACAGGTGCGGGAACCGGGGGAGGGGGCAGTGGGGGAAGCTTGCTCCCACAGCTCTGGGGCCGTGGGAGCGGTGCCCCAGTACTTTTCATGAGGTCAAGAACCGTTGGGGCAGCTTGCCCTCCCCAAATTAGGGGTTGTGGGTCACAAAGGAAGAAAGCGTGTAAGTGAAAAATCCACCTCTTTCACTGGCTCGGCAACTCATTTGGCAGATTAAAGCCTTTATTCCAGGTTGTCAAAACGGTAGTTTCTTCACTCAGCTGAGGCGGAATACCTGACTTTTTTTGCAAATATTTTCGTTTTTTCTTTGTTGAAAATGCCAAGGTCTGAAAAATATGTGGCCTAAAACCGGTGAGAAAACTAGATTTGGGGGTACCCTAGGTTGACCTCTTATGGTTCAGCCCCCCCCCCCCCCCAGTCTGGAAGAAGTTCCCGCGCCACTGGTTCACATTAGAGTCCTCACCGCGCCCGGTCGACCGCCGGCGGCTGGCCGGTGGCGTACGCCGGCAACACTTGACCATTGCGGTGGAACGCGAAACTTTGAAGTCCGGGGGAAGCCCGGGTCGACCGGGTGCTATACGGGCCGGGTCTCAGTTCTGCTAATCTCTTCCTGACCAGGCCTGCATTCGTCATCGGGAAAATCACGGAGAATTTTCCGGAACTAGCGAGAATCATCGGGGATCACGAACGGTATCACAATAACGAGACATACTGAAGATAGACGCTCAACAATAATTTTCCGACGGAGAATATCCGAGTGACAATATTTTTCCGGATGCCGAGTGCACCTCAGGATTTCATGGTGCCATGTAATGTCATGAAACGGTCGTGCTTCAACAAACTCAACATTGTCCAGCTGTAACTTTATGCAGACCAGATTGTTTTCAAAATGCCTAGACCGTTTGCAAACGGCCTGGTGTCTGGAAAGTTGTCATACGGCCTAGACGGTTTGCAAACGGCCTGAAATTTCAGGCGGTTTGCATACAGCCTGGAATTGCAGCCCGTATTCAAACGGCCTGACTTTTCAGTCCGTTTGCATACTGACTGGGCTGTCCAGGCCGTTTGCAAACGGCCTGAATCGGGCCAGGCCGTTTGCAAACGGACGGAGTTTTCATACGGCCTGTAACATATACACGCTCTGCGGGTAAAGGTCAGAGGTCATCGGGCGGGTCAGAGTTGCACGCTCTGCGGGTAAAGGTCAGAGGTCAACGGGCGGTTCAGAGGCACAGGTCAGAGGTCACCGGGAGGGTCAGAGCTACAGGTCAGGGTCACCGGGTGGGTCAGAGGTACACGCTATGCGGGAACAGGTCGGTCATCGGTCATCGATCATCGGTCACTGCCGGTCATCGAGCGGGTCAGAGGTCATCAGTTAGGGCAGAAATCGCTGTCCAAAGATAGTGGCGGAGGTTACTAGAAGCCACTTGTCAGGGTATGGGATGGGAGGCGTGTTCAACAATAATCACAGATGAGGCATACACATCACACAGCCAACAAGTTTTGCATTATCATCAGTTCAACATCTACAGTGGAAGAGCTCTTTTTATTGACAGTCATTCAAAAGCGACGTAAGCGCCTGTTACGTTCAATGTGACTGCCTGCCAATGGCCTGCCCGAGTTTCGTTCCGCCGCGGCAGTGAGGCGGTGCTCAGTTACACAATGCGATAGCCAGTCTCTAAGGCTGCCGAGTCGCGACCAACACCTGTCCAGTGACCCCTCCGACCCCCCAGCCGTCCGATAACTCCGCGCTGCACTGAGTAACAGGACAGACACCGCACCGAGGCGGGCCCGCCGAGAGCAGCGGCCGGTCGCCAGGGGGGTCGGTGTAATGGCTGTGAAATCCGAGGTAAGTGGCCGGCCCGGTGCCGACCGAGTGCTCCTCGACAGCAATTAATGACCGCAGCCAGAACACATACCGGCTATGTAAGAGCTCCATCTGAGGCCGGCGAGATCGTTTGTCATCGAAGTGCCGCGAACCATTAGATGTGTCCGCTAAATAGCACGGCAGCACGTCTAAATTTAGATTTTAGGGAGCATATGTGCCGGCCCAATGCGCTGGTGGTTGGTTATGATGAAGTTAATGTAAGCTGTTAACGAAAAAGTTGCCGTGTATTCATCAAACTTTTCACCGGAGAGTTTTGTTAAGATTTTAGATGTTGCTCGACCAACTAATGATGCCTTTTCCACTTTCTCAGCTACTCGCATCTTGGCCGCCAGCAAACAGCCGCTTCTAGACAACAGTCGAAGCAAAACAATGCGCTGGAACGAATTTGCCCAACTATGCTGCAGAGTGTACTCTTCACTCCTAAAGCAGCCTCTTCTCAACATCACACAATATCCAAACATGGAAAGAACCTCCTTTACAGTGTACAGGTCTCGCGGGTTTTAGCGGTAGGTTTTGCACCTAGAAAATTTAGTGTACTTCAGGCTATATCTTCGTCGTCTTAAGCTTTTAAGCGTTGAAGATGCGATCGACTTGTTGGGTAACAAGCCGGCCATGATCGTGTAAAATGGCTTCATCGTAGATCGATTAGTTTCTGAGATATAACCGGAAATGTAAAAGTGCAAAACCTACCGCTTAATCTCGCGAGACCTGTACATGGAAAGAGTAAGAAAAACGTAGCACTCAAAATAATGTTTTACTTCACTACAAGAATTAAAGTGATGTTCATAAGATGGCCACTAAGCGCTCTCAACAGCACTGCCCACGGCCTAGTAGCCGAGCTGTCTTGACCAAGTCTTGACGACCAGAGTCCCAGACATTACACAACATAGGCGAGAAAATTGACGAGCTCACATTTCAATAATTTGAAGCTCACGGGAGCCATTCACCTTCAGCATGATCGGCGATCAGGCCGACGACAAAGAGGTAGGGACGAAAAGGTCGCGGTGTCAGGCATTACAAATGATTGCGCAGATGTTCCATTTTCCAGCACCCATCACTGATGGAGCATGGTCCTTCGTACCACAATTTGAATAGACGGGACTGCAGCTCGCTCCCACTGGGAACCAAATTTGTTCATGATATGCGTAACTTATTCAATTTATTCAGCTAACCATGCAAATACA